ACATTTTTGTCATTTTGAAATATATGTTCATAGCCGGCACAGCAGCTCACTAGGCTAATCCTCCACCTAGCGGCGCCGGCACACTGGGTTCTAGTCCCGGTCAGGGCGCCGGATTCTTTCCCGGTTGCCCCTCTTCCAGGCCAGCTCTCTGTTGTGGCCAGGGAGTGCAGTGGAGGATGGCCCAAGTGCTTGGGCCCTGCACCCCATGGGAGACCAGGAGAAGCACCTGGCTCCTGCCTTCAGATCAGCGCGGTGCGCCGGCCGCGGCGGCCATTGGATGGTGAACCAACGGCAAAGGAAGACCTTTCTCTCTGTCTCTCTCTCTCACTGTCCACTCTGCCTGTCAAAAAAATAAAATAAAATAAAATAAAATAAAATAAAATAAAATAAAATAAAAAGAAATATATGTTCATAACAATCAGCAAAATTATAAAAAATTGGATTCCTAGAACATTCATACTACCAAGACACTTACTGGAAAATCTCTGAGTTTATTACTTGTGGTATACTTGGGGATCATTAATTATGCATCATGTTCCATGAAGGGATACTCTCAAATGCTTTCACGGCCTGCTGACTACACCACAGAAGGTGATGACTGTGAACCAGAGTTCATGGGCCTGATCCAGGGCGAGATCCCACCTATGTCTAGTCAATCAGTTCTAGTGGATAAAAGATACAGAGTTCCCAGATTTTCCAATTGCTTAAAACAAGAACAGATTTTTGTGAAAAGTATCCTCATTTTGACACTATCAAAGTAGCACAAAACACTAGAGCAGTAGGTTAAACAGTAACTCAAGAGGGTTAACAGGAGCTGAACTACTGTGTGGAACAGAATGCAGAACTAATTATGTAAGACTTAGACTATCTTTTAGTGATTTGTTTTCATTTGATTTGCTAAATGGGCTCCAATATTAATAAAATTGGAAAACATTGCCTTATTGAGAAAAACAAACTACTGGTCCTAAACACAATTTAATTGTCATATTTAATTCACGTATCTCCAAAGTTTAACCTACCTCTCTCGACCCTTTGGGATATCCCCCAGGTGTTATCCAGTTTTCTTCCATATTTTATTGAATAGATTTTACTGTAGCATAGTAGTCCATTCCTAATAATAGTCCATTTCTCATCTAACACTCAAGTCAAAAATAAAGATTTAGATATTGAGGGAAAGTATTAGACTTTTTAAAGACAACATACTATTTGTCTTTATTCCAAATAGCATGGTAAAATCGATGTAATCTGAATGTCATTGTAGACATAACTAAAGGAAATCATCCATCTTCATAAACAATTGAGCAAAAAAACAAGACATCTTACTCTTATTGTTCTTCGACTCCTTCCAAAACACACCAAGAAGATGGAGAAAGGGTTCATCTTTTAGCAACCTAATTAATTCCAAGGAAAAAGGGAAATAAAAAGTCCCTGAACCAGCCACCACTGCTCATTTTTCAGAGGCTTAACTCTTCTAGTACTAGCGTGGCTATTAATGTAGGTAGGTGTGGGAATCTTGTTATCTTACACAAGGAAACAAAGATGTTAAAAAGGATCAATTTTATTCTCACAGGAAAGATAATGCCATAATCATGAAGTGAAAGGGGAAAAAAGGTAACCATTTTTGTTCTAGTTACCATGTTAGTAAAATGTTACCATATTAGTAAAATATGTTCTCCCTGATCGGTGACAACTGACTGAACACCAAAAAGGAAACCTCCTGAAGTGAAATGGACACTATGGGAAATGGTGACTTGATCAGCATAGCCCTGACTGTTAATGAACAACTTAATACATTATCCCTCTTAGTAGTTTTTTTGTCTGTTCTACTTAATATGACTGGTTTAATTCTGTAATTTATACACAGTTATTCTTAAGTGTTGAAAATTAACTGAAATGTGATCCCTGTTAAACATAAGAGTGGGAATAAGAGAGGGAAGAGATGTATAATTTGGGACATGCTCAAGCTGACTTGCCCCAAATGGTAGAGTTAGAAACATACCAGGGGATTCCAATTCAATCCCATCAAGGTGGCATGTACCAATGCCATCTCACTATTCCAAGTGATCAATTTCAGTTCACAATTGATCATAAGGAAAGGACTAAGAGTCAAAGGGAGCACATAAACAAGTCTAGTACCTGCTAACACTAACCGATAGAATAAATAAAGGGGAGAGTGATCCAACATGGGAAGTGAGATACTCAGCAGACTCATAGAATGGCAGATGTCCTAAACAGCACTCTGGCCTCAGAATCAGCCCTAAAGGCATTCGGATCTGGCTGAAAAGCCCATGAGAGTATTTCAGGCATGGAAAGCGAAGACATTCTGGCAAAAGATCTCTGTGAGTGAGATCCCAGTGGAAAGAACAGGTCTTCAAAGAAGGAGGTACCTTTCTCTGAAGGGAGGAGAGAACCTCCACTTTGACTATGACCTTGTCTAAACAAGATAAGAGTCGGAGAACTCAGAGGGCTTCCATAGCCTTGGAAACTCATGACTGGAGCATAGGGAGATTACTGATGCCATAGACAGGAGTGTCAATTGGTAAAGTCAACAACAGGAGTCACTGTGCACTTACTCCTCATGTAGGATCTCTGTCCTTAGTGTGCTGTGCATTGAGATTTAATGCTATAACGAGTACTCAAACAATATATTTCACTTTGTGTTTCTATGGGGGTGCAAACTGTTGAAATCTTTACTTAATGCATACTAAACTGATCTTCTGTAAAAAAAAAAAAAAAAAAAAAAAAAAAAAAAAAAGAAAGAAATTATCAATTCCCAACTTGACTCTCACTGGGATTAAACATGACAATAGGTCTGATCTGATTTCATCATCATTTAAAAAAAATCATCTATTATTTTTCACTTTATGTTTCTGTGTGGGAGCAAACTGTAAATCCTTACTTAATGTATACTAAGCTGATCTTCTGTATATTAAGATAATCAAAAATGAATCTTGATGTGAATGGAAGGGGAGAAGGAATGGGAAAGGGGAGGTTTGTGGGCGGGAGGGATGGTATTGGGGGGAAGCCATTGTAATCCATAAGTCGTACTTTGGAAATTTATATTCATTAAATAAAAGTTAAAAAAATATTCTTTAAAAAAATTTTAGATGCATGGGAATTATATCAAGTATTTTCAAGGTGCAGCTACAAGAAAACTTAAGTGTCTTCTATGTGTTCAACAGTTTTCCACACATTTCTGAAATTATAACACTGTGTTGATAAGAAACTGTTCAAAAATAACTTCAATACATTTTGTGTTTTTATAAGGATAAATATTACTCATTTATATAATGCCAATTTATAAACTAAGAGAAACAAATGCTGGACTTTTATTTAATAACTTCAAATTTTAATTTTTAATAGTTTTATAGACTAGTGGGATGATTTTACAGGTTGTACTATTTTGAAAAATATTTTCATAAAAGAATTAAGCAGTATAACTATATTGTCCATCAAAAGTGTGTATTACATGTTATAAGCTCTTGAAAGTTTTTATTGATTATAAAGCACTTACTCATGAACCCAAGAACAACATTGATCTCTTAGAACCTTCAAAAAAACTAAATTAATTAAATTTATATTAGTTCTATGTCAGCAGATGCTGGAATATTTGTCCTTCCCCACACCATTTTTAACTTCTGTTAAAAATCTATTGTTTAAAGGACTGCAGTCATTTTGTTAAAAAGAGAAAATTGTTACTGCTGCAGTTTTGAGAACTCCATTAAATTCTCATTAAATATATGCCTTTTCTGTATATTTTGTCCCATATAGTATATGCTGGGAATGTCCAGTAATTCATTTTGAAGTATTATTTTTTGATTTGCTGTATATTTTAATATCTAAATACAGTTTAGAACAAAGTACCTTAATCATGAAAGTCACAATGAACACCAAAATGTTCTCCTTACTGTTTCTAAATCAAACTATACTGAAACCATTGTATCATCCCAACTTTCAAAGTTTTATTCCTGGTGCTCTTACAAGTTGACTTAATTTTAACAATCCTACTTATATCAAAACATCTTTGGTATGTATAATAAAAATATCTGATCTATAACTTTAGCTTAAGGGAAACATCTTTTCTTAGATGGCTAATAAAGACTTCTTTATTTTTGTAATGCGCATAGCTTCCAGTGCTGAAGAATGCTACTAGTCATACCTCTGGAGTACTTATTTACCTACTTACATAATGATTATAAAAATAATGTGTTTCAGAGCATGATTCCATATTTTAATTCTTAATTTTGACTATTATTCTGTAATGATTACATCACTAATTGTTGGAGACCTACCATTGCTAATGAAAATTAACCATTAGATGAGGGCGGAGTGATTAATTCTAAGCCAATGACTTGATTAAAAAAAAGAACCTCTAATTCATATGAATCAGACTACAAGAAACTTCCCTTCCCTTATGTGTAAGGCAAACTACTGTTCCAGAAAGCATTCCTATCCTTTACCAAATTTTTTTTTTATTTTTTTTTATTTTTTTTGACAGGCAGAGTGGACAGTGAGAGAGAGAGACAGAGAGAAAGGTCTTCCTTTGCTGTTGGTTCACCCTCCAATGGCCGCCGCGGCCGGCGCGCTGCGGCCGGCGCACCACGCTGATCCGATGGCAGGAGCCAGGAGCCAGGTGCTTTTCCTGGTCTCCCATGGGGTGCAGGGCCCAAGCACCTGGGCCATCCTCCACTGCACTCCCTGGCCACAGCAGAGGGCTGGCCTGGAAGAGGGGCAACCGGGACAGAATCCGGCGCCCCGACCGGGACTAGAACCCGGTGTGCTGGCGCCGCTAGGCGGAGGATTAGCCTATTGAGCCACGGCACCGGCCTCCTTTACCAAATTTAGTTAGCAATAGAGTGACAATGGAACAAAAACGATCATTTAAACCATTAAAACAAACCCTTAAAGATGTAACCAGTTTTCCTCCCCATTACACATAAACTATCAAACATTCATTAATTCTCAAAAATATTATAAATCGTACTTTGTTTCATGTTTACCTTGAAAGGCACTGGCTCTTCAGTGAGAGGACTAACAGGAAGTGAAGTGGTGCTGCTTGCTGGGCTCATATCTGCACTCTGAAAGGAAAGCAAGATGAAATTAAATAGGGGCATTTTTATAGTCATTTCAAGTATTCCCAACTCGGAATACTTCTGGGGCGGGGCCAGCATTGTGGCATAGCTGTTAAAGCTACCACCTGTGATGCCAGCATTTCGTATGGGTGCAAGTTCACATCTTGGCTGCTCCACTTCCAATCCAGCTCCCTGATAATGGTCTGGGAAAGAAACAGAAGATGATCCAAGTGTGTGGGACCCTGTCACCCATGTGAGGGACCAGATAAGGCTCCTGGCTTTGACTTGGCCCAGTGCTGGCTGTTGCAGCCATCTAGGGAGTGAACCAGCAGATGGAAGACCTCTCTTTTTCTCTCTAGAGCTCTGTCTTAAACAAAAAATATGCTTAAAGAAGGCCCAGTGTTGTGGGACATCCCATATTAGCGTCAGTTTGAGTGTCAGCTGCTGTGCTTCTGATCTAGCTCCCTGCTAATACACCCAAGTACTTAAGCCCTTGCCCCCAATGTGGGAGACCTGGATGTTGTTCTTAGCTCTTGGTTTCGGCCCAACCCAGGCCAGTCGTTGTGGCCATCTGGGGAGTGAACCTGTAGCGAACCAGGAGTGAATTATTTATTCATATTCATTCATTATCCCGATGACCCCCACTCTTGGAAAAGCCGGAGGGAGTGATTAAAGAGGCCTGCATGCCACAGTAAATTGCGTGGGTTTGAATCTTGCCTCTACTCCTCATTCCAGCTGCCAATTATGGCCACCCTAAAGGAAGCAGGGGATAACTCGGCTTTGGTCACTGCCACCCACAAGGTAGACCTGGATAGAGCTCCCAGCTCCCCGGCTTTTGTCGCAATTGTTGTGGGCACTGGGGAGTGAACAAATGGATGGGAGATGTTTCTTGGTCAGTCCGCAAGTCAGTCGGCCTCTGTAACTCTGCACCTCAAATAATTTAAAAAATAGATGTAGAAAAAAAAATTCTAATCAGGTTATATAATGAATTGTTCTATAAGTAGAAATAGTTAACTAGGGAATTAAATATCATTCTCCTTACACATTAAAGTACATTTTATTAAATATATTTATCTTTTTTGTTATATTCCTATTTACTTTTTCTGAAAATGTTATTTGAGAAGCACAAAGGCAGACAGACACAGAGAGTTCCCATTAACTCCCCAAATGCCTTCAAAGGCCCTTGGCTGGGATCAAGGCTGGGAGCTTGAAACTCAATCCAGGGCTCCCACATAGGTGGCAGGAAATTGAGCTATAACTGCTGCATCCCATAGGACACAGAATCAGGAGCTGGAACTGAGAACCAAACCTAGGTATTCTAATGCAGGACACGGGCACAGGTGAAATGTCTGCTCCCAGGGTGCCATTTAGCATTATCTTAATTTTGTATTTTTTATCTTTTCTTTAAATATTAAACTATATATAATGATTCGTTATTTTGATATTTCTTTCAGGCTTTTTATCTTAAAGATTTATTTGAAAGAGTTACACTGAGAGAAGCAGAGGCAGAGAGAGAGAGAGAGAGAGAGAGAGAGAAAGTCTTCCATCCACAGGTTCACTCCCCAATTGGCCGTAACGGCTGGAGCTGTGCCGATCCAAAGCTAGGAGCTTCTTCTGGGTCTCCCACGTGGGTGCAAGGGGCTAAGGACTTGGGCCATTTTCTACTGTTTTCCCAGACCATAGCAGAGAGCTGGATTGGAAGTGGAGCAGCTGGGACTTGAACTGGTGTCCATATGGGATGCCGGCACTGCAGGCAAAAGCTCTACCCACTATGCCACAGTGCCAGCACCCAAGCTGACTTTCAAACATGGGTGATACATTTTCTTTCTTCTATGAAGATTTATGTTGTTACATCCGGTTTTGTTTTTTTTTTCATCATGTAAACCATACCTGCCATTAACACACAATTGAAAAATGAAGAAATATTGAATTTTAAACATTCATAGCCCTTTATATATAAATCCTTTCTTAGGGCAAGTATTTGATGTAGTAGTTAAGATGCCCTGTTCCAGATCCAAGCACCTGAGTTTGATTTTCGGCTCGACCCTCTAATTCCAGGTGCTTGCCAATATAGAACCTGGGAGACAACAAGCAATGGCTAAAACAGTTAGGTCCCTGCCAGCCACGAGGGAGACGTGGACTGAGTTCCCAGCTCTGGCACTAGACCCAGCCCTGGCCTTTGCAGGCATTTGGGAAATGAACCAGTGGGCAAGATCTCTGTGTCTCTTGGGATCCATGTCTCTATCTCTCATAAGTTTTAAAGAATATTAAAATCTTTCTTCAATTCTGCTAAACAAAAAAAAAGTTAAGCACAAAAGATTTACAAAAATATTAAGAAATGATTAGTATGCAGCTAATGCATTTCTTGTCTTTTTAAAAGTATAATCACGGGCCGGCACTGTGGTGCAGCAGGTTAAGGCCCCGGCCTGCAGTGCCGTCGTCACGTATGGGTGCTGGTTCTGGTCCTGGCTGCCCCACTTCTGATCCAGCTCTCTGCTATGGCCTGGGAAAGCAGTAGAGGATGGCCCAGGTGCTTTGGCCCCTGGCTTCAGATCACCACAGCTCCAGTTGTTGCAGCCAACTGGGGAGTGAACCAGCAGATGGAAGACCTTTCTCCCTTTCTCCCTCCCTCCCTTTCTGCCTCTCCTTCTCTCTTTTTAAAGATTTATTTGAAAGTTACACAAATAAAAGTATAATGTATTGAAATTCTTAAATAAGATAACAGTAGCCTGAAAAGTGATATTAGTTAGATGTTCATCATTAATTTGCTTTTCTAAAAGAGGAAGATACCAATATTAGGTCACATCAGAAGTCATTTTATTATATTTCAACATATTCTCTCAGAAATCTTCTTCCACTTAATTAGTAAGCAAATAAAAAATTGAAAAACCTTAGTTTCCCAACACACAAACATATAAAAACAGAAAAATGGTAGTAAAGATTACAGAAAAGAATGAATTAACCTTGATGGGAATAGAGAAACAAGACAAGTCTGGCTGATTTAAGTTTCAACATATGTTACTATGCTACATGTTTATAATCCATCTGATTCAACTGTACAGTAATCTGAGCACTCTTTAAATAATTAAGATGGATTAATCTATTCCAAATACCAAGGTTAGTACTATCAAACACAGGGACCAAGATACTCAGTATAGTTATTAAACAACATATGCTATATCTACTTTAGAAACTGACAAATCTGCACATTGTGTTAAAATGTCTAAAGGAAGAAATTAGTTAAAACTGAGTATCTATAATCTGCTAAAGGAAGCAGAAAAATACATGTGCCAGACGATTGAGGTAAACTGCAGGGCCTGCAGTTCTAACAGGGTCTCCCATATGAGTGTCAGGGGCTGAAGCATTTAGTCAGCAACTGCTGCCTCCTTGGACGCATTAACAGGAAGCTGATCAGAAGCAGAATGGCCAGGCCTGGAACCAGGGACTCTCATATGGCATGCAAGCATCCCAAGGCTTAAACCACTGTCCCACAACACCTACTGATTTTAATTACCAAATTTATCCAGAATGTTGAGGTCATTTATCTGATCAAAATCAGTAATTGCCGACTCTCTCAGATTTTATGAAACGATAAAGAAATAAAGCTTTTCTTAGCAATTTACAGCAGGATTCTATCATATGAAACTATTCCATAAATAGAAAAAATATACATAAAAGACTGCTTCACTCAGTGTTAAATTTATCACGAGGATTTAATTAAGTGACAGATCACAATCCATGTATAGTTGAATTATCTGACATTTACCTGTAGTAGTCATGGTCTGCATGGTTTATTAAAGTATCATGCCCTTAAAACCATATATTTAGGAGATAGAGATGGCATTCAATTGTGAAAATTTAAAAAACCAGTTCTTGCAGATGAAGGGTTTTAAACTACCAAAAGATGAGGAACTCAAGTGTTGATGTCACCTACAATATCCCTGGGGGACGGGGAAAAATGAATAATCCTAGAACAATAGAAAACAGAATATACACTTTGCATCACTTAATAGTGATTCTCTGAATGTTAGTCTTGGAGAAAACTTTATTCTAGCTTTAATTTTCAAATCCATCTTACAATTTGACACTAATTCTAAAGTTCTTAGAAAATCCTGGTAAGTTTTTAAAAATAAATCTTATAAGACAACATATGATAAACTATACTTAATCAGTAGGTTGAGAAATACATATATATATATCAAAAAGTCAAATGAAAGTATCCTCACTTTTATCTTACTGTTTTCCCATTATCTTTTTAGTGATCTGTAATTTATGTGTCATTCCAATTTGCTTACTTGTTTAGATAAAATACTATAATAAACCTTTAGGAGATAAGTCTTATCCATACTTCATATTTCAATTCACTTAAACTTGCACTCAATGACAGCAATGCAGATTCAATTGTATGCCCAAATACAAATTGATGAAATACTTTAAAAGGTATATGGGATTTTCAGAAGCCAACCAAGGGGGCCTGTGCTGTGGTACACCAGGTAAAGCTGTTGCCTTCAGTGCCTAAATCTCATATGGCCACCAGTTCAAGTCCTGGTGGCTCCAATTCTGATCCTACTCCATTGCAGCCATTTGGCAAGTGAAGCAGCAGATGATCCCTCGCTCATTCCCTCTCTCTGCCTGTCCCTAATTTCAAATAAGTAAATAAATCTTTATTTAAAGCCAACAGTGTAGGCAACCCTACACTTTCTTCATAACATATTTTGTTGGAATGACAGCTTCATGTGCTTTCGTGGTATGTATCTGTGCCTTTGGAAATGGTTGCCTAAAAATAATGTCAAAGTGAACCCAAGAGGAAAACAGAAGACCTATTCTGTAACAGAGACACACATTCCAATGGAATGAGTCTCCTTAATTTTCTTGTGACACACTTGGGTTTTTAAACCCACTGGAGATTGCACTAAATGCTCTTGACATGCTGCAAGAATCATATCCTAATTCTTACAAGTGTCCATAAGTCCGCTCCCTAAGTCCCATAGAAAACTCACTTCCTT